TAGATAGATAGATAGATAGATAGATAGATTGATAGATAGATAGATAGATAGATAGATAGATAGATAGATTGATAGATAGATAGATGATAGATAGATGTGACACTGAAGACTGGAATCTCAGAAATAAATTATATTTTACAGTATATTCAAACAGGAAACAATTAATAATTAACACCAATATTATTTTTACTGTATTTTGGATGAAATAAATGCAGCCTTGGTGAGCAGAAGAGACTTATTTCAAAAACATGACAAATTCTGAATTATTCTAAACTTTTGACTGGTAGTCGTGACGTGTAACAAGTACACTGCAAAGAAAGCGTCAGTGATTAATTTATTTTTTTCACAGTTTTATTATGTGAATCAGATTTATATTAAGTAATAGCTTATAGAGACTGAGCTTGTATTTGAAGTAAAACGTACCATTTGAAATAAGTCAGCACACTGCACTGCCATTTCCTCCAAATCTTATGGAAACTTTGGACTTTTTGAATGTAGTATAATTAGTTTAGATGTAGCCCATCACTGGGAGGCATTATGCTCACACTCCCTTCAAACTCTCGATACAACCTTGTTGCTCCTGCAGTTTACGTGCTGGTTTTTACCTGCTTTGTTAGTCTGAGGACATCTAGAGTAGTAGCTCTCTCATCAGGAGCTAGTTCTAGTTACCACTGTCTCGGTTTCAGCACTCATACACTATTCATGGCCATATCACATATCTCCTGCCCATCTTCAGGATTGGACCAAACCAGACTCTTTTTGAGTGACTTTTGTGGCCTCTCTGTTTCTGTCATCCAAGTGTCAATAATGAGTTTGTAAACTATTCATTTTAAAGACATCTTGATATTGGAATCGCTTTGTCTTTCCTGCAAACTCCTAGATGTGATTCAGGAAAGCAGCTGCACTGTACGGTAAGTTTTCAGGATTTCATCAGACTTTGCATACGAGTCTTTTGTTTGCTTTGTGTGTCATGGAAAACCAAATATTGCAATCCTATCTAACTTAATGACAGTGGCTTTCAGATTTGGCTTTACTGTTATGGTGTTTTGTGTATTAATGAAAACATTAAACATAATCAGAAATGTATCAGGATGTTCAAAATTCACTTTTTTGTGGATTTTTTTGAGGATGTTTCAGTGAAAAAAGTTTTGTTTATCCAAAAATATCTTGCAATGGAAATATTTTCATCATAAAAGAAAGAATTTAAGAAAGAAAATAATCCATTAGCTCTGTTTTGATTGCATCAGTTAGCTCTAAGCATACATAATTCTCAGACTTGAATATGCTTTCTTTCTTTTTCTTTCTTTCTTGCTCATTTACAACATTCAGCATGCTTATTTAAAGGTAATCTGTCAGTTGTAGATGCACCTGTCTGTTTAGATAATTATGCTGCTTATGCAAATTAATTCAGTGCTAAATAAATTCTTCATGTATCTGCTAATTATTGATGGGTTAGGGTAATAAACTTTAGTTAATTAATAAAGGCTAATTGCTTTTGGATTCCTGGCTGATTGAAATGGAGTTGCATTACCGTTACATTTAAATTGAGAGATTTTTAACATTTATTTTTCATTTCCATTTTCAAAAACATTCATATACCAAGAGGATAAATCAAATTCCTAACAATGAAGCGTAGCAAGCATCGAGCCTCCAAGGATGATGGCAAAGGTCAAGGTGAACGATTTTATTAATTGTGTGGAAATTTGTACATTATTGTAAATTCTTTAACATAATTAGTTCAGTTTTATTTATAGTGAACAATTAATATATTTCAATAATTATGTCATATTATATAATAATACATTTAATAAATGATATAAAACATTTTATGTGAATGTAGCCTTTATTTATTGCAAATAACTTAACTTAATAAAAAATATATATATGTACATAATGAATGTCCATGATGTTCATAATGACATCTCATCATATTTGACTTGTTAAGATGAGCCGGCCATCCTAGAGACGGAGGATATGAGGATGCCAGACCCGGACACCATCTCACTCGCATCCGTCACTGCCGTCACAACCAATATCTCCAATAAGAGGTGACCAGAAATTATTCCAGTCACATGATTCCAAATCAAATTTGATATGCTGTATTACATTTATGTTGTGTTAAATATTACTTAAATGCCAATATTCCATATTCTAACATTGTATGTTGATCAACTTCTACTTTTTTTTTTCCATCCAAAAATGTCGTAATTATTTTAGATCAAAGCCTGACATCAAGATTGAGCCTAGTGCCGGAAGACCAGTTGATTTCCAAGTATGTAGAACGGCAAATTGTCATTGATGACAGAAAGAGATTTTTTTTGTAAAAACACAATGTTTGTTAAAACAATAGAAGTAGTGTTGAAAATGAAGACGGTCAGTATTGTGTTTGTGGTTAGTGGAACACGTTGATAGTTAAAGTGAAGAGCTACACCTGTGGATCTTCTGCTTAGGACACCGGTGTGAACTTCATACAATGTGTAAGACTAAAAATCACAAAACATCTGCTGATTCAAAAACAATGGTAAAGAAAAGTGGTATTAGTGAAGAGACTAGATCTTACAGCATTTGAGACATACAGATATATTAACCCTATAGTTTTGTATCATACAGACATTTTTGAATACGGTCCACATACAGTACCACATATTTGTGTGTAATACCCCACTTTCCAGGTCAGTGTCACTGTGATTGAGGCCAGACAGCTGGTGGGTCTGAACATGGATCCAGTGGTGTGTGTAGAAATTGGTGATGAAAAAAAATACACCTCAATGAAGGAGTCGACCAACTGCCCTTACTACAATGAGGTATGTTCCTTTTTAATTTAGGATTGCAATATTGTCCCTTTGCAAAATAATGATCACAACAAATAACTGAACTCAAAAAATAGCAAAATAATCACATCAAACCAATTGTTCATCTTAAAGGAACAGTTCACCCAAAAATGAAAATGAGCTGAATATGTGCTCACGCTCAGGTCATCCAAGATTAGGATGAGTTTGTTTCTTCATCAGATTTGGAGAACTGCAGCATTGCATCAGTGTCTCAGCAATGGATGCTCTGCAGTGAATGGGTGCCGTCAGAATGAGAGTCCAAACAGCTGATAAAAACATCACAATAATCCACAAGTAATCCACAGCACTCCAGTCCATCAGTTAACATCTGGAGAAGACAAAAGCTGAAACAAACCCATCAAGACGTTTTTACCTTCAAATCATTGCTTCCGCCTAAAATACAAGTCCATAATCCATAATAACGCTTCCTCCAGTAAAAAAAAGTCATCTGGTCTGAATCAGGAGAGAAATCTGCACAGATCAAGCACCGTTTACAAGCCAAAACAGCTCTAAACAAATATGTGTGTGGATTTTGATGTGAGAGACAACAGGAGATGCACTTTTACACTGGAGGAAGAGTTATTATGGATTATGGACTCGGATTTTAGCCGGAAGCAACAGTTTGAAAAAGGTCTTGATGGATTTGTTTCTTACAAACACGCAGTTTTTGTCTTCTCCAGATGTTAACTGATGGACTGGAGTGCTGTGGATTACTTGTGGATTATTGTGATGTTTTTATCAGCTGTTTGGACTCTCATTCTGACGGCACCCATTCACTGCAGAGCATCCATTGCTGAGACACTGATGCAATGCTGCATTTCTCCAAATCTGATGAAGAAACAAACTCATCTACATCTAGGATGGCCTGAGGGCGAGCACATTTTCAGCAAATGTTCATTTTTTGTGTGAACTATTCCTTTAATATTGTTAATTTAATGTTTTCATAAACTTTTCGCTTTTTTTAGTACTTCGTTTTTGACTTCCACGTTCCTCCTGATGTCATGTTTGACAAGATCCTGAAAGTGTCAGTAAGTAGCATCAAATATCAATTTGAAATGGACTTGCTCCTAAAAGATAGTCTTTTCGTTCGGCATTAAGCTTTGTTTTAAATGGTTTTAAAATAATGTGTCCATACAGGTTATCCACTCTAAGAATCTTTTGCGAAGTGGCACGCTGGTCGGGAGCTTCAAGCTTGACGTGGGCACAGTTTATACACAACCTGGTAACTGGTATTATCATGCTTCTCTATCCACCTTACTTTAAAACACAGAAGTAAGCAATTTTCTGTGAATGTGCAAGACGTACGCTTCATTAGCCGCTATAGATAAATAACTAGAAAAATATTTGAGCTACAAATCAGTGTGTTTATGACTGATAATAAATTCAAATATGACAAATACCTGTTTGCAATATAAAACAGCATAATGGATTGTTTTTGTACTGGTAAAAGAAATAGAAACAACTGACACCGGAAGCCTGCGCCGCTCTTATGTTAAAAAATAAGGTGGATAAAGCTCTGTTTCTAGACTAGACTAGAGAGCTCAAAGACTAGAGTTGTGTGTTTTTCTTTACATTTACAGAACATCAGTTCTTCCACAAATGGGCCACTTTATGTGACCCCGATGACATCACTGCAGGATGCAAAGGCTATGTCAAGTGTGACGTCGCAGTTGTTAAAAAGGGCGACACTCTGAAAACTCCACACAAAACAAATGAAACGGATGAGGATGACATCGAGGGGTAAAAAACAAAAACCCTTCCTACACCGTTAATGTTACATGTGTTATTTGCAAAGGGAAGCATCACTGTTACTACTCCTTACCTTGAACAAACTCTAAACTCAAGTGTTCCCAGCTGTATTTTGACAGCCCTATGAAATAAATATTTACTTGTACTAGGATTTAATTCAAATGTGAAATCTGAAATTCTAGTTTAGTATTTTACCACCCAGATAATTCCATCCAACAACATATGGATTATTTAAAGGCGATTCTATATGCAGAAACACATCTCTCTTCTTTATTGATTTTGTTGTTGTTCCAGTAATCTTCTGTTGCCGGATGACGTCCCAGCTGAGCGTCAATGGGCAAAATTCTATGTGAAAATCTACCGAGCTGAGGGGTTGCCCAAAATGAACACCAGCATTATGGCAAACGTCAAAAAAGCCTTCATTGGAGAAAATAAGGACTTGGTTGATCCGTATGTCCAGGTGCAATTTGCAGGACAGAAGGTGGGCAGAATTCTCACTAATGGTCATTTAGTCAAATTTGAAAATACAATAGAGTTTAATGATGGAAAATAAATGTAATCATTAAACAAAACACATTTTGCACAATATTCAAAGTTCACGGAATAATATTTTATAATGCACTATAAAAATGAAGACTCTGGAATGACCAGTTCTGCTAAAAACATCTGTTTTGGTTCTGATTATCATGTTTATCGTGCTGAAATCATGCGTTTTAAACCATATGAGTTTAAACTTCTGATATACGGTTTTCTGAGTGCACACATCTGAAGCACACACACAGAAAGCGGATGATAAATCGCATGTTTATTTTAGTTCCCTTTCAGTCGGTCACTCTCGACGTCACGTCGGATGACCGACGAATTGGGATCTCGCTTAGAGAGACCAATCTACTTCGAGTGTAAACTAAACGAGCCAATGCACATTGGCATGCGATTATTGCATCCAGCTGCCGCTGATCACAGCGTGAGTATAAGTAGGCAGGTTCTGTGCTCGTCTGTGCAGCCAAAGACAGAACAGTTAGCAAAAGCAGTCAGTTTAAAAGCTTCTTTTTCACAAGGGGGAGGCATCAATATTTTTGATCCATTGATCCATGTCATCTATCCACAATGCAGGGAAAAACTTCAATTCAGAAGAGCAGCTATGAGCCGATCTGGAATGAGCAGATCGTTTTCACAGAGCAGTTTCCACCTCTGTGCCAGAGAATGAAAGTCCAGATCCGCGATTCGGATAAAGTGAACGATGTGGCCATCGGAACGCACTTCATTGACCTGCGGAAGATTGCTAATGATGGAGACAAAGGTAACAGGGCTTCCTGAACACCTCTGCAAAGTCTGCAAAAGTAACGTGTAAAAGTCTGGAATAATTAAATAGAAGCACCCAATAATTGAATAATTAAATAATTATAATTGAATAATAATTCTGCCGACAATTTATTTGATACAGTAAAAACAGTAATATTATGAAATATTATTACAATTTAAAATAACTATTTTCTATGTGAATATATGTTAAACTAATTTATTCCTGTGATCAAAGCTGAATTTTCAGCATCATTACTCCAGTCTTCAGTGTCACATGATTCAAGAAAGAAAACGTACCAAAAAAAAGTAAATGTTTTTACTGTCACTTTTTTAATAATTTAATGCATCCTTGCTGATTGCTAATCTTTATTGATTGATTGATTGATTGATTGATTGATTGCTTTATTATTATTATTATTATTATTATTATTAAATCTTACTTACCCCAGTGCATCACCGTTTCCACAAAAACAAGCACCACTCTTTTCAGCACTGATTATCAGAAATGTTTCTTGAGCAGCAAATCAGCATATTAGAATGATTTCTGAAGATCATGTGACACTGAAGACTGGAGTAATGATGCTGAAAATTCAGCTTTGATCACAGAAATAAATTACATTTAACATAGATTCACATAGAAAATAGTTATTTTAAATTGTAATAATATTACTGTATTTTTACATGGCCTTACTGAGGATAAGAGACTTCTTCAAAAGCATTAAAAACTCTTAATTATTTACAAACTTTTGACCGGAAGTATATTTCCTTTGTCTTTTATGTTGTTTATCACATGTTGCTCTGGATACTCAATCACATAAGCCATCACTACATTGCTGTTCAAGATCAGTATTAATCCATTTTCAAATATTATCAAAAGGTAAAAGATTTAAAAAGTGATCCTGTTTCTATTGCTAGGCTTTCTTCCGACTCTTGGGCCGGCTTGGGCCAACATGTACGGCTCCACACGCAGCTACACGCTCATGGACGAGTACCAGGACCTGAATGAAGGACTAGGGGAAGGGGTTTCGTTCAGGGCCCGGCTGCTGATCAGTCTGGCTGTGGAGATACTGGATACCTCCTCTGCTGAAGTAATGTGCTCCACTGAGGTGCAGGTGGAGGGAGTTCCCAACATCTCAGATGTAAGCGATCCATAGACGGGGGCTGGGGGGGGGGTTCAATACAATTACAGTGAATTACGACAGGCCAATTACAGTGAATAATTCATTCTCTTTATTTATCTCCGTACATTATTCATTTAGCAGTAATACTCATAGAAGTTCTTTGTGTGCAAGACAATCATCTACACAGTCAGAGCCAAAGTTAGGCTTCATTCTGCATGTGACTTGCTGTTAAAAATTTATCAGTTTGAGAAAACAGATCTGTTTTGAATTGTTTATGAGCACAGTGACATCATGTTTTGTCTAATCTTAGGAAAACCCCCATACACTGAAAACAAAAAAGAAACACTCAGAAATTGCTAGTAAATTTCACAATTAATTACAAAGAAATGGCAAGTAGTGCACTGGATTAAACATGAAATTTAAATTAAATTACATTTTATTTTAATTAACGTAGATAGACTGAAATAGCATTTTCTTGTAAAGCATACTCTAATAAACTTTTTATTTACAACAAAGTGTATTCACAAAACATTTAATCAATTGTTTGTTGCTTATATCTAGAATGCCACTGGAAAAATTGAGGAGTTCTTTCTCTTTGGATGTTTCCTTGAGGCCACTATGATTGACAGGAAGATTGGAGACAAACCCATCAACTTTGAGGTTACAATAGGTACAATCTATGGTAGACTAGTTACTAGCCTTTAAATTGAGTTCACCAGTTGCTCACCATTCAGAATGCTACTGAATTCTTTTAAACTTTCAAAGAAATGTATGTTACTGCTGTGAGTGTACTTTTTAATAATACATTTAATATGAATGACACCAGTTCAATATTAGATCAATCATACTCAAAGCATATGGACTAACTCCTGAAATGTTGCATTAGATGATATTAATAATCAATCAGTGTTTGAAATGCCATCTCTCCAATTCAACCTTCTTATGTTCAGGTTGATTCAATATAAATTCTAACTCATTCAAACTCAAACTCATCCAATTTTTACATGCAAGGACCATTAACTGGTTTTAAAGGAATAGTTGACCCAAAACTAAAAAGTTTGCTGAAAACATTCTCATCCTCAGGCCATCCGAGATATAGATTAGTTTTTTTTTTGTTCATGAGAACAGATTTGTAGAAATGTAGCATTGCATCAGTGTCTCAGCAATGGATGCTCTGCAGTGAATGGGTGCCGTCAGAATGAGAGTCCAAACAGCTGATAAAAACATCACAATAATCCACAAGTAATCATATGGACTAACTCCTGAAATGTTGCATTAGATGATATTAATAATCAATCAGTGTTTGAAATGCCATCTCTCCAATTCAACCTTCTTATGTTCAGGTTGATTCAATATAAATTCAAACTCATCGAAAAACTCAAACTCATCCAATGTTTACGTGCAAGGACCATTAACTGGTTTTAAAGGAATAGTTGACCCAAAACTAAAAAGTTTGCTGAAAACATTCTCATCCTCAGGCCATCTGAGATATAGATTAGTTTTTTTTTTTGTTCATGAGAACAGATTTGTAGAAATGTAGCATTGCATCAGTGTCTCAGCAATGGATGCTCTGCAGTGAATGGGTGCCGTCAGAATGAGAGTCCAAACAGCTGATAAAAACATCACAATAATCCACAAGTAATCCACACCACTCCAGTCCATCAGTTAACATCTGGAGAAGACAAAAGCTGCGTGTTTGTAAGAAACAAATCCGCTTTTAACTTCAAACTGTTGCTTTAGGCTAATCCATAATATCGCTTCCTCCAGTGAAAAAGTGTTCTGGTCTGAATCAGGAGAGAAATCTGCACAGATCAAGCACCGTTTAAACAGTCCAAAACAGCTCTAAACAAATACAATTCAAAGACTGAAATTTTATTTTTTTGTTAAACATAATCCAATAATCTCTATTTTATTTACAACTTCATATTTTATAGTGCACACTTCACTTTTATGCAAGTAATGAATTATTCTGGGAAGTGTGTCAGACACCTACTACATCATTAAGCTATCCTCTCAAATCAAGGAAACTATGGCAGTGAACTCGATACTCCAACCAAGCCAAAAACAAAGAAGAGGAAGGGTGGCGATGACGAGGAGTCTGAGCTCATTCACGGCTCTAGTGACGAGGAGGTGGATGATGGTGGAGATATGACCTCAGTTTCCAGCACTCCTCCAATGAAGCCAGTCATCACTGACAGGTTGAGTTACTCAACGTGTACTGACCTAAAACTCATTTATTTATGTTATTTTGCATTTGGGTGCAAATTCATGTATCATATCCGGTTTATTTGTATGCAGAAACTATTTCCACCTCCCGTACTTTGAGAGGAAGCCCTGCATTTTTATCAAGAGCTGGTGGCAGGACCAAAGAAGACGACTTTATAATGCAAACATCATGGACAGAATTGCAGATAAATTGGTAATGAATCAATGGATATAGCTTATATTAGTTAGTTTCTGAAATATGTATCTTTTTACCATTCTGTACGCATTCTTATTTTTGTTTCAACCATTTTGTACCACTATTTATTTCATTTTTATTTCATTTTACTCTAAATAAATAAATCTTCAGGCAAGACAATACAGATGAATAGCGTAAACATTTTAACTAACAGATAACACCATACTTCCCCTGTTGATGAAACACAGTACATTAAGACAATTGTTTTGTATTACAACTTTTCTGAAATGTTATGTTTAAAAATGCAAACGAGGCATTTTCTAATGAAATATGCACTAATTTATTTACAGAACAGAAATCTGAACATTGGATAAAGCCAGGTTCAAATTCTCATTTCATTTTGTTGACATTATAGAAATATTATTATATATGTATTATGTCTTGTAGAGAGATTATTGTAATTAAAATCTACAGATGCAAATAGATCAAGCGCAAAAAAAATAAACACTAAAGTGTCTATTTTGGATTCTTTCTTTCCACTAGTCTGAAAGAAGTCAAGTTATGGAAGCAAATTAGCCCAAAATCTCAAAATTGACTAGTGCATGATAAAAAAAAACAAGGGTTTTGCCTGTAGTGTCTTGCCTTAAATTCCATTTACATCATATTTTTCGTTTAGTATACAATAATAATCCTGGTTACAGTTAATCTGTGAAAATACATCTATACGTTGACATTGCAGCTTGTGTTCTCTATCATTTTATAGGAAGAAGGGTTAAACGATGTGCAGGAGATCATTAAAACAGAGAAAGCCTATCCTGAGCGCAGACTCAGAGGAGTCCTGGAGGAACTCAGCATTGGCTGCAGGTTTATATACGGTTTATATATGTTATTCTGAGCCAGTTATGAGTGGATCTCTGGAAACAGTGCTATTTGTGCTCCATTTGTGTCCTGTGATTAAACGGTGCCGTAAGCGTTTTCTAAGAACCACTTGACTGGTTAATGTATATGGTGGGTAGTAAAGCATGATTTCTTGATAATTCAGAAGTAACATTTTTAAATGAATTGGAAAAAAAACTAAAATTTTGAGCCACAAATGGCACAATATTTTCACAAAACTTTATTCAACTGTCTATGACTGAGTAAAGATAAAATAACAGTGGATTTTTTATCTCTTTCAGTACCTTTGTAACTTTAGCAAACAATGATCAGAATCAGACTGGGAAGACTAAACTGGACCGGGAGAGACTGAAATTATGCATGCAGGAATTGGTAAAAGCAGCTCTTACTAACAAATATTAAGAGTAACTAATGTTAAAATCTGATTCTGGTGGCTTATTTTTGTGTCTGTTGCTAAAGCTTGTTGTTATTTTTTCAGGAAAACATGGGCCAGCAAGCAAAGAATATGCGATCCCAAGTAAAGAAAAGCAACGTGAAAGACAAAATAAAACTGGCACAAAACTTCCTCCACAAGCTGAGATTCTTTTCTGATGAGGTAGTGCACAAGACCTGATAAAATACAAATACGATTGGTTATGTGGCCATATAGATGTATTCATGTAAATTCTTTTGTTTTTTCATCATAGCCTCAGCATAGTGTTCCAGATATTTACATATGGATGATAAGCAACAACAAGCGCATTGCATATGCCCGCGTTCCCTCCAAAGACATCCTCTTCTCTTCTGTAGAGGAAGAAACCGGAAAGGACTGTGGGAAAGTCCAGACCACCTTTTTCAAGGTTAGGATGAATGCAAATTCTGAAAATGTCTTAAAGGGGTCATATGATGCTTTTTTAAAGATCATTATTTTGTGTATTTGGTGTAACAGAATATGTTGACATGCTTTAATGTTAAAAAAACACATTATTTTTCAAATACTGTACATTATTGTAGGTCCTCTATGCCCCGCCTCTCTCAAACACTTCGTTTTCTACAAAGTCCCTCCTTCAGACAAG